CTTCGCGAAGAAACTTCGGGACGATTATCACGTGAAATTGATTCAAACATGCCTTCCAACAAGAAGAGGACGTCAAGCATCGACCTGAAACCGCTGGTCTTGGAAAAATTAGCCACCACCAACACATCTAGAAGGTCAAGCAGATCGAGCAATTCTCCGGTGTCAGCAAGAAACTCGGCGACTTCGGCGTTCCCGCTATTCAAGTCAATGAACGAGAGTGATGATTCGTTGACAAGGCAGCATCATCAACTCGGGACGATGCAGGCCATAATGAATGTTAAAATACCGTTCCCGGTTATGATACTAATGATGACAACGTTTATTTGGATGTACAACCATTTAACGGTGTTGTACGCTTCTTCATAAGACATTAATGAACTTTTTAATTTATTTATATGTGGGTTTGGGTTTGTAATTTGTAAATATCTAATTTATAATTTAGTCTCGCGTGTACTTCATTCTTTTTACAGTTTTTTTTTTTTTTTCCTTTTTTTTTTTTCTTTAAAAAAAAAAAAAAATTTACTCTCTTTAAAGATTTTTTGTTTAAAAAAGCAAACTTTTACAATTCTTTCTTGGGACAAAAAGACATTTTTTTCTTCTGTTTATACTACTTTTTCTTAATATATTTTCTTTTAGTATCTTGTACATACTTAATTTCTATCATTATATTATCACCTAGCTTTTTGGTATTGATTTGTACTTTCCAAAATCTTTACTTGATAAAAAAAGAACTCAATAAAAAAACTGAAATATTTAAATAATTTGTTTGCGTTTTTGGGAGGTCCAACTTTCCCAACAAGTTGAAAATTTTACAATTTGAAAGAGAACATATTTAAATGTAAGAGTGTAATAAGTGCCGCCAAAAAATTTACAGTATCTTTTATTAAAAAAAAAAAACTTGATACCCTCGTTATGAGTTGCTCACTTTTCAATCCCATTTGATCACGTCAGGATGCTGTTTATAAGCCTCATATGCCTCCCTGTTGAAAAATGAAACCTCGGACTCGTTCTCTTGAAGGATGTGTAAGTTTGCTAAGTTAGTGGGTGTAAACATTTCTTTTTTTGAAATTAATGACAACACCAACCTAAACCACATGAGATTAAGGTATCTTCATCATTGCCAAAGATCCATTCTTCGTGTTCAATGTTTATTATCAGGTTTTGCGTCTGAGCGACAATGCGAAGGGTATGTTACTATATTTTAGTAAAGTACGTGTTTCCTAATAAAGTTGTTATTCACCTTTGCACCGTGAGCTTTTGTATAAAGTTTTAACGTATCTTCGAGATCACAGATGCATAAAGTTAGAGACAAAGGTGCAAGATGGGAATCATCCGAATTTCAAATATTTTCAATTACCATAATTCACATTACGAAAAGGCTTAAATCCGGAAATCGTGTTAATTTCTAATTATTTCGGTTATAGTTCGCAAAAAAACATTAAGAAAACGATAATTCATATAAAAATTGATCGATTGAGAGAATGCGACTTTTACTTTCTCTGATAAGATTTTTTAACTCTCCAACGGTGGTGCTCTCTAGATTTACATGCTGCAATACTAAATTCTTGACAGTACGATATTCAAAGTTCTTGATTACTCGAATGGTTAGTGTTGACGAGGTTGTGGGATTTAAGGTGTTGGTAAGTGCATCGGTGAGACTAGTCATTTTTAATTTCGAGAGTATGACATGTAAATTGTAAATTTGACAATCAATACGACCTCTTGCAGGAGAACGAAGGGTAAAAATAGTTGAATTATGTTGGAAAAATCATTTTTACATACATTTCTTGTGTAACATTGGGAGTATTATCTATATCTATTCCCGTGCGAGAAAATTTACACGATTGATACTTTAATCATTCCCATTGTCTATCTTGTATACATTTATCCTTTACTCTTTACTTTTTATCGTGCATCGCCCTCTCTAGATCAGTGACCTGATCTTCATCATTGGCATGAACTATCAAATATTCATAATTCCTTTTCTTTTTCCGGCATTTTAATAATTTGATGGCAACAGGGGTAACCGCGGATAATGCTAACAATGCCAAAAGCACTGCGCTTATTGGCCCGACGAATGAATCTTTCTTGTCCGGAAGTAGATCTCCTTGCTGAGTGGTATCACATAAAATGGGTTTGTCGAATGAAGAAGGAAATGGTATTGTTGCGATCATTTGTTCGTCATCATTTTCTAGAGCTTCGTCCTTTGCCCCCATATACTGCTCTAGGTCGTCGTCATTTGATTCCTCTTGCTCCGCGGGTGGTCCTCCAACGATGGTGATTTCAATGGTGGTGATCGAAGAATTCTCCTCGTCATCGCCCATCATGCTTAGATCATCATTCAACGAATCGAACATCTCTTTGGTGGCATCCATAGATAAATCCAACAGTTCGTCCATTAACGCGAACGGGTTTGAATGAATTGTTTGATGTGGTGATGAAGAGCCGAATGTATCATGAAATGGAGATGAGTCTTCGCGATAAGACGATAGTAAAGGGAACAATGAATCAGAGTGAGACGGCTGGTCCTCCACGGATTGACATTTTACAGAGGTGGAGAGAAGTAAGATCAAAAGAGAATTTAGGAATCCGAGGTTTATTACAAATTTTAACTTCATGATTTATCCCACGTTTGCAACCAATACGATCGGGTGGTAATTCCGTCGTGTCTTTTTGCGGGAGCGTCAAAAGAAGCGTTTTTGTGAATCCCCAAGAGGTCATTTTATAATATCACTCGCTTATGCGCATTATTATCGGATCGGTTCTTATTGCGCTGAAAGATCAATTGATATTTTCGGCATCAGTCTTTGATTTATATGATAGATCGATTAAGAACGATTGGTTTTGTAGATTCATGCGAGAACGAGTAATAGGAAAATAGACCGATATAGTTTTATAAATTATTTGTCATCAAACATTAAATTAAACGGTATCTTTTTTTTATTTTATCTATTTTACACCACGGGTAGAATGGTTTGGCATCATAATCTGGAAATGCAATTTCCAGCAGGCCGTCGCATAGTCCTGAAGGTTGTTCGTTTTGATGAAAAGGTACACACGATGTGGCCTTCTCGCAAAATTCTTAAACTGTATATGGTGCTGCGCAGTGCGTGGGTAAAAAATGTTTTGAGCCGCATTAAGCCACATAATGCTGGCGAGGTTTTAATTGCATAATCATCTGTTTCTATAGAATCGCTCAATACTAGTGTAACGTTCGTGCGATATAATGACAATTATGGTGTCAATGTTACCTTCTTCATATTTGACGAAAAAAAAAAAAAATAAAAGCTTCATGCGTTTAGTTGTCGTCTGACAGAATTTCGAAATCAAGCTATCATGAAAATTTTCTCTTTCCTAAATTAAGAACTGCCCGACCGCCAAACAATAATTTAGCCGATCACTCATTTCTTTGTAACTCGATCAGTTATTTTGAGGATTCCCCTGACGAAACTTGGTTTTTGTTGTAGTTCCAACTTATGAAACTTAAAATGAGTCCCAAGGGCGCGAAAGGTAAGGTAACCAACGTTGTTTCGTGTCTTCATATTTGAGAAGAAGTTTCTGAAGCCTTTTTAGCGTTGCGATCGAATCGAAAAGGAAAATCGTGTTAATAATGGTTGATTCAAGTCTCAAAGAAACATATCAAAAATCTACATTGCTTACAGATGAATATGAGACCATTGCAAAGAGACGCCCGAGGCGTGCAGCAACACAGAGCGTCTCATACCATGCCCGTCCCCCTCGTGCAAGAACAACTCGTACTTCCACGCGTAAGCAATCGCAACCACGATCATTGCCGGTTGTCGAAACCCCCCCAGCAGATGTTGATGCTTCTGATGAGGGATCGCAGGAAACTGATCCCCTGGATATTGATGGAGGAATCCAGGCTCCACCGCCACCGACCCGCATTCGTCTTAGGATACAATCTCCCGAAAGCAGTAGTTCCCCTCCTGAAAAGTTGCCTAAACTGAAGCGTAAAGCTGGGAGACCGCGAAAAAACGATCCTAATTCTAAGCGTCATCGTGTCACTTTGACTGCGAGTAATCGTGATAAACTTGTGGAACCATCACGACCGATGGATGATACCGAGGAGGCACAACAAGCAGACAATGAGATGGATGAGAAGACTTTAAAGATCGGTGTCAAAAAAGAACAATCGTCTGTAAATAATGTCAGGAAAAATAAAGATGAAAAATCACGGGACATTAAGGAAGAAGCCGCTGAGGAAGTCGAAGTCTTGGACGAAAAGGGCGAACAGAAGATTACAAAAGACGGCGAACTACTGGGAGGTAATGCACAAAACCACTTTGGCTCGATTGGTAAATTAACATTCAGGCTTTAATTTATCATTTTTCTATGATTTTCAGGTAGAAAATATAGAGTGCCCGTCTTTCAACTAGAATCGCGAGGAAACACCATATTCATGTGTTCCATGGAGCCAGCTAAATGTTTGGGATTTCGTGATAGTTATCTGTTCTTCTCGAAAAATCCTTCTCTAAAACGAATCGCGGCGACAGATCAGGAGCGCGAGTGGCTTGTTGCCCATGGTTATCTGCCAACAAATTTTAGGAATAGGGCAATTACGCTTGTTTCTGCGAGATCCATATTTAAACTTTTTGGTCACAGAATTGTATTAGGCGGGAAACGACGAAAAGACGATTATTTCGAATCTAATATTAATTATGACGAATCTCACAACAGCGATCAAGGTCAAGATTCGGAATTGGAAAGCGCGAACAACATTCTTTCAAGACGAGCGAATACCAATTATATTCAAAATCCTCGTGTTCTTTTGAATGAGACGAATTGGATGTATCACCAGGCGCTTTCGTGTCGCGATTTTAACAATCGATTAAATATTCATCGTTCCGAAAAATCAAGATTTTATGATCCACATACCAATATTGATCAATTCCCCCGTGATACACAACCGACGCGCGTTCGTGTCGAAATGACTTCCCCAATTAATTATTCCGCGAGAAAGAATAACGCACCCGCACCGATAGAGCCTGAAGTGGAGTTTGTACCGAAAATTGGGAACCCACACAAGACACTTAGTGCAGAGGTTATGGAAGTTTTACCCCCTGAAATCAGGGAAATTGTTGAAACCATGAAGAAAAACGAGGAACTGGACGAATATCGCGTCGAGGACAAATATCCTCTGTCATTGATGGATGGTCAATTCCAAACCTCTTATCCTGTGTGAGTACTGAATGTTTGTTTGTACGATCATAATCATTTTAAACCCGTATCGATAGATTTTCTTCCAATAGGTATCAAACTCGATTCAAGCCCGATATTCAAAACGTACCCATGACCACAACCTCAAACATGCCGACCACACCAGAAACTGTTGTAACAGAGGAACAATCATATTTCCACTTCAGAAAAACTCAACCCACGCAGGCTTTTGGCAATCAGGTATTTTCCAAAAATTTTCAGACTTTCTCTGTTGTATCCATCTAAATCGAAAATCTTTTTTGATTTTGATAATAGAGTTTTAATCAGACAGGAAGGAACGTTTCACAATATACATCAAGTAAGGCAAATCCACAGTATATATGTGGTGTCATAACTGCAACAACTGGCCAACCATGTAGGCGAGCAGTAATTGCTGAAGGGGAAAAATGCATGTATCACAAAGATAGCGTACAAACTCCTACATTCGTGGGTCGTTCTGTGAACAGAAACAAACCCATGAATTCTGTCGTGAACTCTGTACCGGTAGGTCTTAACTTTTTGAGCCTCAACGAATGATTTTCCGGATATGGATATTCATATGTCGATTAATGCATTGTTTGATAATTATAGACTGATATGGCTGGCACCTCTAATATGCTGCCTCCCACTCCTTTTTCCCTTCCTCCCAACGCCTGTGCTATTTGCTATTCTACGGTTGTCCCTCCAAGCCTGCAATTACCTCCTAAAGTCTCGTGTTCTACCGAGCACACTACCAAATGCTCTCAATGCAACCGAAAATATCATCCGATTTGTCTTGGTCTTACTACACCCCGACTTCTGGTCTCTATTGAAAGTTACCAATGGCAATGCAATGATTGCAAGACTTGTTCGGTTTGTAAATCTTCCGGTGATGAAGCCACTCTCCTTATATGTGATGATTGTGATAGGGCTTGGCATCTTGACTGTAGTGATCCAAAAGTTACAGAGGTTCCGCAAGGTACTTTCCTCGTATATTCAGAGCTTACTATTCCGATCGCGCTCAGTGTATTAATAACAATTCCTATAATCTTTATTAGGTCCATGGTTATGTTCACTTTGTGCGCAATGCGATTCGTGTGGAGAAAAAGCTACATCTTTGAATGATGCCGCAAGTAGTTATTTTCATAAGGATGCGATCCCCAATGAATCTAACTATCCGATTCATCTGGCCACGATTTGCAGTAAGTGCGAACCCAATTTCTCTGCTGATAGATTTTGTCCGATGTGCCTTAAAACCTATTCAGAAGTGGAGGATGGTCAAGAAAATGAGGATGACAAGGATATGGTGTGTTGTGATGATTGTGATAGTTGGATTCATGCGAGGTGTGACTCTGCCATCACGCCTGAACGGTATAAAGAATTGGTCGAAGATCCCGATGTAAAGTACAGATGTCCGTTGTGCGAGGGAAGAATAAGACCATTGAGAAAAGGTGATGAGGAACAGCTTCGCGCATTGTCGGGTTTTCCCATAGCTGTGCCCGCTTCTCAAATTGCGAACGGTCGATACATTCGTGGCGTTGTTAGCTTTAAGGGGAAGAAGGTGACCGTCCCTGAGATCCGGGGATGGGGAAAAAATAATGTTTAATTAAAAATTCTGGAAAATTTCATCTCAAAAATTTTTCACCTACATCCAAAAAGAACTGGAATTGTGCAATTGTGTTTCCATGATATTATAATTATTAAAACCACAAGATCCACGAACTTAATAATAAGATAATTAAGTCATCAAGAATTCTAACTTAATAAGAGTAGTCTAGGACAAAAACAATAATATAGTTTCTTTTGCAAGAATTTCCATTTGTACATAGTTTCAAGTCAAATAAAATCTTTGAACAGGACCTAATTTTAAAAATTTGTTTATAAGTCTACCGTCGGAAAGTTTCTGTCTCATGTAATTATTTTCTACTAAAATCAGAGAAGGAAACCCGTGGTACAATGACAGGGAAGATGTGATTGCAAACACACGCATGATCACACATAATGCTTTACAATATTTAAAAGGATAATTTTATAGGCTATATAATTGTTAATTTTTATATTAAAAAATACATCGTAAATAAATAATCTTTTTGACAAGTATAATATGAATTATACAGTTGCTCAAAAAAAATGATGAAACATCAGAATTAGATTCTTCCTAATTCGAAAAATATTGTTTGAAAGATTTTGTTAAAATATAAAAAAAATATTAATTTTCTTCAAACCATATAAAATTATTATGATTGTTATGTGTGTATTATTTCTAAAATAATATCTTTTTTAAAAAAATTTTTTTTTATATTTTAAATATATATAATTGGGATTTTTTTTTCAAAAGAATTTACTTATTGTATTTTAACTTACTTGTAAATTTTAATTCTAATATATTAAATTTTTTTTTAAAACAATAACTCAGTAAGAAACAATAAATAAATTATTGAAAAAGAAAAATACAAATTATAAATTATTAAAAATATTAAGATAGTTTGTAAATAAAAATAAAAATTTTATTTTTATTTAATAAATAATTTTGAATAACATACTGTATATACTGTACATATATATTTTTAAAAATAATGAAATTTGAATATAATTATATAATTAAATATTGATTTTATTTTTAAATAATGTTTATAATATAATATAAACTTTTAAATTCAGGTTTTAATATTTAAAAATTTTTTATTATATACAGTATATATAATTTTTTGATAATTAATTAACTGCATATGTTGTAAAAAATAAATTTATAAAATTTTTTATTTATTTATTCTATTAACTATATACTGTATATTGGTAATATTATTTTTGTTATTTGAATTTATAAAAATTAAAATTAGAGCCAATAAAGTTATCAGTTGAGTAATTAAACCAGTTAATCACTTGATTTATGGGCCTTACGTAATAGAACACACAAAATTTTACATTTAGTCACAAACGGTATGCTTGAATACGTACATTGAAATTTAGATTTTTTAAAAAATGTCTACAGCTATTATCAGAACAGTCAAGAGTGCTGGAGCTTCGTTAGCTGGTAAAAGAACTCGTATACCAAAGGCAGCAATGACTTTAGTTAGTATGAACCCTTTTTCTCTATTAATTTCTTAAATTTCTTCTTTTCTTTTCTCATGTCGTTACGTTTTCCTATCAAGACTCCAGCAGCAGTTCAGCGGTTACAACAATTAGTTAAAGGCCCCGATCCGAAACTGATTCGAGTAGCCGTTAAAAATAAGGGCTGCGCAGGATTATCATATGTTCTAGAGTATGCCAAAGAAAAGGGAAAGTTCGACGAAGAGATCAATCAGGATGGTAAGTTTTAGATGCAGCAATGAATTTTTGAATCATTTGTTTAAACAATTAATATGTTTATTTTCAATTACTTTTAACAGGTGTCACAGTTCTGATAGATTCAAAATCACTTTTCAAAATGCTTGGTTCTGAGATGGATTATGTACAAGATAAGCTTTCCTCAAAATTCGTTTTCAATAATCCAAACATAAAAGAGAGTTGTGGGTGTGGAGAAAGCTTTACCATATAATTAACTCCAGTGTGACTAAAAAACATATATCAAAAAATATTAACTTAATAACCAAATCGGCAATTATTGTTTGATCTGATATTGGTTTTTTGGCATAAGTGCGGTGAAAAAGCATTCATTATCTGATGTAACACAATTAGAAGAAAAATACAACCACATGTAATATCATTGCAATTATTTAAGCTATTTATTGAATAAAAATGAGTCTGAAAAGATGGATTCAAACATAATCGAAGCTTAATTTTTAAAATCATGGATATAAAGGGATCAATATTATCTTACCAAAAATTGTCTCGCACAATACAATGTCAAGAATTTTATTTCCGATCTCAAATAAAAATATAATAATTTAATTATTAATGATAGCAATTACTAATTTTAATTGATTTTATTAAATTAAAATATATAAACTTTTAAATTTTTTATTTAATTCAATTAATGCATAAGATAATTTTTATTTATTATAATTTCAATTATTATATTTAATAAACTAGTTAATTAAAAAATAAGAACAACAAACCTTTAAAAGAAAATAATTACAATTTTAAGTAATATTATATAGATTATTTTGTTAAAGATTTTATTATATCCATATGTTAAATAATTTATTATATTTCTATGGTAAGTTATTTATTTAAAAAAATATTATTATTAAATTTTTTAGCCATTAATAAAGTTTTTTTTAATTAAATTATATATTTTTTATAAATTTCAAATTATAATTTTTACAAAATAATTTTAAATAAGAAAATTTAATGATTTTTATAAACTTTAATCCAAAAATAACAATATAAAAAATATAAAAATAAGACCTGTGGATTCATAGCACAGTTGTTAGTGCTCCACAGGTCAGATCACAAGATATCAGTTCAATCCCATATAAAAGCGATTGTACAGAATTAACATGGTATCTGGCATCATAACCATTTATGTGTTGTTTCTTGTAAGAAGCCAGTTCACATGCCAATCTGGCGAGTGTCAAGATTGTGGTCTCCAAAAAAGGTGATGTGGTGTGATGATCATCTGGTTGGTGTCACAATGATCATTTGAAAAAAGAAGATGAAGAAGGTGACAAGGTGTCTGCTTTCGAGTAAATATGGCTTAGTGATCGTTTTCCCGTAGTACCTAACATCTCTTCCTGTCAAGATGATTGCCTTTATAGAGTTCTATTCACCACAATAGGTACTACCTCCAGTCCTTCTTTCACTTTCCCTTATAACATCCCCGGTTAGAAATAGAACGTCACATGGTAATACAGAGTAAGGCATTTGAAGGGATTGTTGTTAGGAAACATTTATATGCACATGGTGAGTAGCACAGTGATTATGTAGGAGTTGTGCCCTGCTTGGCATTTATGCCCCTAGATTTGGTAGCTTAAGCCAACTGTGAGCCTATGGAGTGTCTACTGGAAAATTTAGGAGTTGCGTCCCACTTGGTCAGCAACCAAGCCTTCAGATTTGATAGTGTGTGCCAACCATAGAAACAACTCATGAAATATTTACTAGGAAGTATATACGAGTGTAAAAATTCTGATGCAGCTGCATGATCCAAACCAATGTAATTGACAAAATAACTTACAGAAGATTAGCATATGCTTGATGAGAATGGACCTTCAATCCCAAGTATAAACCCACTTACGTGATGTAAAGTTGATACTTGGGCAGAAATGGGCAGGTAGCGTCAGTTAAATAAATTGTTCATATAATGACTTGTAATCTATAATTGATTAATAAAAGCCGTGCATGTATCGCACTTAGTCCCCCCTCCAAAAAAAATATATATATATATAAAAATATATTATTGCACTTAAAATTTTTTAAAACAAATTTTTAATTTATATTTTGTTGATTATTTAATGAATATTGATAATATAAAATTGAACTTTAAATATATACTATGTTTAAAGATGGGTCCCTAAAGTATTTAGCATATAAAATTTACGTCCCTTTACGTCCATGTCCCCTAGAGGACATAATT